TTGATCCCGGTCGAGTCATACCAAAGACTTACAAAAATGGTATTAACAGCTGCCTCGCTTGGCGCTCAGCATTAAGAGGTTAGTGTTAGTGTTAGGATTGGTCGGCATGGTGTAAGGATAATGTGACTGGGTGGGACATCAAGCTATACGTCTGCGGCATGATTCCCCATTGCTAGACATCACCATATACTGCCACACTGTAGACATCGTAGATATATGACTGAAAAATTGTTAAAGCTACGTTAAAAATCATAAACACCACACTACGCCGATCATCAGATAAGGCTATTAAATTTCACCGGTCACGTATTCATTCACTCCTAAAAACGCTATGGTAAAACACAATAACAACATAATAAAAGTACGGTATCAATTGCTCTTAATACATGCAACAATAAATTGCTTCATATCAATACATACTCGTAGTTCTGTTAGAGAAATCAATAAACAACCATCAGACACATATCTGTACATCACAACTCATACCAATTATACAAATATTCAATTATCCATGCTTTGATATCTTCAAATATCTATTGTAACTAATGGTACATACATCAATCGTTTTCCTAAACTCCAATTCAAACAAGCGTAAACTCTAACATAACTCATTACTAAAGGTACTGGCTACTACTAAGTAACCTACCAGCGAATTACAATATTTAACTTTAACGAACTAGCAATATACTTAATTTTCTACGTAAACTCAAATTAACGTCTCAGATACGCTTATAAATGAAACACTGCAAGGCAATTCTTCATACTAAAACAATCACAGTGATTAAGTATACATACTACAAATACTTGCAATTATGACCCTGTAATGTTTTGCAAAAGTCGAGCAAATAGTCCTAAGATTCCCGCCAAAGTACAAGTGGCTTCCCTCGGAGTATACCTAAATCTTATAACGGCAAGATGTACTTCTCCTAATTTGTTCCGGTATGCTGATAACTTTCTGAAAGTTCTCAGCTATAATTCGGATCTAAAATTTAATCCCAACCTCTATCTTGATTCCGATTGGATGTTGTTGTAGAATTTCCCAATCAAACTTAGTCTGACAATGTCTTTCCGCTTGTATGTCTACTTGGCGGGTGAGAACATGCCTCGTTCACCCTGCGGGCTTCCTTTAGATCCCTAGACCAATGTTTTAACGCCTGGGTGTAAGGACGACCAGCCCCTTGACTGGCGGCTATTCTATAATCTGATTGGCTGGCGACTTGTATAATCAATTAACATAATGCATGCGGCGATGTTTACACATCAAACGCGGTCCTAATAAATCCCTGTTTATACCTTTCCTGATACCTGGACTGCGAAACGTGACAATATTTTTCCACATTATCTTGGGCGTAGCTACCATATAAGTAAGAGTATCCAAAGCGTAGGTGCTCACGAATTAATTTCTTATGCTATAGATTAGGCTAAGGCCCATCTGCAAGTTTTACGTGTGAGGTTTCATTTGGGCTGATATATCTTAGATTCGCCACTGGTTTTCATACTAGTTATCGTCGTCGTTGTCATTATTATTATTATTATTATTATTATTATTATTATTATTATTATTATTATTATTATTATTATTATTATTATTTACAGATGATGCTTGCAATCAAAACTTCTGTATCAGATACAGTTTGCAGTATATGGTACAAGTTTAGAGCGATACAAAAGCTAGCCAAGCGAGACGATCATTGCACGAACGAGTTCTATTACATGGAGCGTTTCTCAATAGATCAGATACACGATATTGGAATAGCAGTCCTCAGGAGAATGTAGATTGCGTGGCACAGACTAATTCTTCTGCAGCAAATAAACTGGATGCTAAAGACTGCAGTCTGGTAGGGGATATGTTTGTCAAACATATCTGAGGAACTGTGAGGGTAACTACTAGTCTGCACAACGCGCATGCCGCAAAGTACTGCACTGGAACTAAACATGTTCGATTTCTCTCGTTTTTTAATTATATATTCCCATAAAAATAGTTCAGGTCTTTGGGATATTTATTGCATCATGTTTGTCTCCCGGAGACCAGATGTGCCAGTAAAATGAGTAATATTTTAATATAGTTTCGGTGCAACCTATCACATGTAATTTTTACCGTTTTTATTTTATAATCCATTAAAAGTGCGAATAATAATTATCTGGATGCGCTAACATCCACATGGATGCAGATAAGTGTGTGTGTATGTGTGTGTGTGTAAACGAGAGAGGGAGTGTTCTGTTAGATGAAAATAAGCAAGGCATTATGAATTTTAAATTGAGAAAGCTGATATGAGATGCATACAGTGTACAAGATGCGGTACAGATGCTATCCAGTTTGCAGTATATGGTACAAGTTTAGAGCGATACACAAGCAATCCACTTTGCATTATACGGTACAAGATTAGACAATCAAAGAAGCTATCCTATCTGCAGTATATGGTGCGAGGTTTGCGCCTATACAGAAGCTCTTCAGCTTGCACTATATGATATAAAGTTTAGACTGGTACAGATGATGTCCAGCTTGCAGTATATGGTATAAGGTTTGGACTGGTACAGAAGCTCTCCAGCTTGCAGTTTATGGTATAAGGTTTAGACTGGTTTATAAGGTTTAGACTGGTACTGATGATATCAAGCTTGTAGTATATGGTATAAGGTTTAGACTGGTACAGATGATATCCAGCTTGCAGAATATGATACAAGATTTTAAAGTTAGTTTGAATTTCAGATTCAAACCGATCACTGTTCTCTGTAATCATGTGATTTTCTGCAGGATATCAGATTTCACTTAACCCTTTGAGAAACCTCTTAAGGGTAAGAAGATGGAATCCAAGATTATAAATTGCCAGTCACAGTAATTTCTCTGGCCATTGAGAAGGCATTACAAGCCTTTGTGATTTTGAGAAAAGAACATTATCAGCAGCAAATGACGAAATTAAAAAGTGTATGTCGTCAATTTTCTTGCTTTCAAAATTACCGTTATTATATGACCTAGCTAAATCAATGATAAAGATACACAAATTGGGTGATCGAAATTCATTATGCTTGACAAAGCGTCCTGTAACTCTATAGTGGTGCATCTTGCACGCCTGAACACAGATACGTGTGACAGGAGTGTCGATAAATTGCCTCTTGAGATTTGTTCACCGGGTTTCTGAGTTTCAAACTGGCATGGTTACCATCCAGTAGCCGAATATTCCCTCACTGGCCTTCAAAAGAACTAAATTTATCCAGAGTTTAATCCCATCTTATCACAACTTAAAGTATGGTTATAGCATAAAAACTAGAGATCACTACTTTATATTAACAAATACCATACTACGTGCACATATTGAAAATGAAAAGACAAATTTATACGTGCTACTAACATTGGCCGTTGATGTTAATCTGTAATGTGGTCTCTTTCTTTGGCAGTCATAATTTGAATATTTTTGTTTAATCACGTGTTCATTAACCAGTTCTTGAAAGCTAATTTCGATACCTCAAAAGGATAAGTCGTATAGGATTTGTAGGTGTTTAGTATTAATAAATTTAATAATGGCTATAACTTTAAGAATTTAATTGCATATTTCTTTAAATGGCAATTATTCACCTTATTCCGATAATTATTTTCTTTCGAAGGCCATTACATGCACACACATGGAAATCTATACGGCATAATGCAAAATAGTTAAGTCGTTAAATGTCACTGAAATAGTTACAAAGGCATACATATAGAAAACACATGAGAGGATTATCACTAAAGCACAGAACCTCGGTCAGGATTTGTGAGCCCTAGGAACAATTCTTTTGTAGACTTCTTTGAATTACAAATTGTGATGGCGGTGGAGCCTTGACCATTGTAAGCTCCGGCAATTTTGTCATATTTGTCCAATCTTGCCAGCGGCCCTGTTAAAGCACCTATAATATGTATAAACATAATTGTAGCAATAAATTTCAACAATTTTCATACATGTGACATATCGGACACAACGCAGAATACTGTTGAAACACGAGGACCTGTAATTTAATACTCGTCTTCACGGACCTTGTTGTGTCACAAATGACTGACGCAAGCTTATTATTGATAAAACAAATTACACGAATAAGAAAAAAATAATACCGACTGACAAAGTTTCTCAAATAACGTAACATCGTACCCTGTCTGTCCAATCTGATTAAAATTAAATCTACACTGTCCTTCGTGAAGATCTGATAGCGATCGCTTATGGGTCATTTTCTGGTGAAGTCTGAATTAGCCAATGCAAATTCAGCTTTCAAAAATTTTAAAGTGAATCAAATAGTTCGGCGCACGATTCGATTCGGCCAATTTACTCAGTAACCCAAGCGTGAAGGTATAACACATCATCTGATTGGTCGATACAATTGGTGATTATTGTAAAAGTCATCAAAATCATGACCCCTAAACAGTCGTTGTCAGATCTTTAGATAGGACAGTGGAGATCAGATTTTGATCAGATTCTTGTTTATCACACTATAAGAGAGACAAGATCAGTGACTTCGAAACTCTGTTCCAGGCCTAAGTCTCAATCTCTGACTGATAAACTTTGGGATCCCCGGGTGGCATTCGCCTTTGCAGATAACTCGCATATCTCACTGATGTCTGTGTTAGTTCGAGGCTCGGCTCGATCAACATAATTGTAAAAGCTTGCCAGCTTCCCGTGGGTCGTCGGGTCTTACCGGGTTCTTCCTCTACCAAATACTTTAGCCGCCATGTATAACCAATCATGTGCTGAAATTTGGTGTTCAACAACAACCACCACCCCAAAACATAAAATGCAAAATAGTGATGTGATGTGATTATGATTTTTAACGTAGCTTTAACAATTTTTTCAGTCATATCGCTACGATGTCTGCAGTGTGGCAGTTTATAGTGATGTCTAGCAATGGGGAATCATGCCGCAGACGTGTAGCTTTATGTCCCACCCAGTCACATTATCCTGACACCAGGCCAACCAGTCCTAACACTAACCTCTGAATGCTGAGCGCCAAGCGAGGTAGCTGTTAGTACCATTTTTGTATGTCTTTGGTATGACTCGACCTGCGATCGAACCCACGACCTCCCGCATCCGAGGCGGACGCTCTAACCACTAGGCCACCGGAGCGGTAAGTATAATAGTATAGTCAATATTATTTGATTATATACTTACTATGCTCACAACTTATGTCGTCGTTATTTTACTGATAAAACTGATTTGCTGTAATATTTATCTAGCAAGATAGTGCTTTGTTCTTTGAAAGCTACCGAAAATAACTTTATTAAAATTACAAAAGCATATACGATATCTAATATATCACATTTTCAAATATATAATATGCTGTTGTGGTGTTCTTCAGTGTTAACAAATCATAATATATGTATTCATTTCAATGTGTGATACAAATTACTATGATAATGAGAGAATGAGAGCGTATATGAGTTCTTTGTAGAAATTAGGTCACAAATAGATGTACATAGGCATTTGTGTAATCAGACACATATACTCTCTCATATTACCCGAACTGGCCTTGCTCTATTCCGATAAATTACCCGAACACCTATAATGATAGTGACTAGAGGTTTAGGGGCCAATATTCCCAATTTATTAAAATCTCCAAAATTTACAGGCCTTATTGTCTGCACACATCGATGTATATTTTATACGTTTACCTGTATTTCACGCGCTATTTGAACTACCTTCAGCTGAAAAGTTCTTTTGGTGATATGTACATCCTAGTCCCAGATGAAATCCTATGTTAAGCGACATGTAAATCTACGTGGAATAACACAACCATCTGTCCCGTAGCGATTTTAAATTTCACGATTAATATGGTCGTTACTAAATAATGGTAAGTATCTAAAATGTATGCAGGCGTATTAAGGAAAGATTTGATTGCAGTACAATTGCACATTTTAATAAGCATGTGACAGCAGACCCACATATAGTCCATCAGAATTAATACCGATTGGGGTAGGGTTGATTTATCGACTAGCCTTGCACCTGCGTGAAGGACACCGGTATGTAAGCGGATTATATATTACTTCAACTGTAGATGAAAGGATATCATCATCTTTGGCAGCAGTCTTGGGAGACCATCTGAGTAGCGCCATTGGAGTGTTGTCTGTCTCTAGGGCTTTTGGCATTGTATGTTGTGGCTGTGAAGGCCATTGCGCGAGTAACAATCCCTATTGCAGTCGGAGCAGACGTACTGGGAAGTCTAAGTTGCTTGGTTTGCTTCTGCACGCTTCTTTCTCTCTCGTTTCTCTGCGACCTGCTAAACTCTCCTCTCATCAGCGACCGCTATGTCCTTGCTGACTGTGTGCCTCCAGGTGCCTCGATCCTCGGACCTGTACTTCCCAGTTCTCTGGTGAAATACCACATACCTTCATGTCCCTTTTACTATTTTACTTGCCATCCATAATTTATTTGTTCCAGCGTGTGTCAGAATTTTGCAGCTAAATACATTTTCACATTTCAACTGACGTTTGTTTTATGGGGAAGGAGGTAACGTAAAATTGAAATTATGACAACTTCTGGATTACAAAATAAATTCGGTCTTGACGGTTCTGTTTTGACGTATATTAGCAGAGGAGGATGTACCACAAAGGTTCAATATCTATATTTAACGTACGTAATAACAACAGTCACATTTTGCCAAGAAAAGTACACTCTCTAATTATGCAAATTATAATACATTATCTTACATGCGAAATTTTAATTTCTTAGATCAGATCATGAAAGTCAAAGTATACTGTTGGTCGCATGGTTTTTATTAAGTCCACTTGAGGCCTAATCCCAATAATTTCCAGAGCCATACAGTGTGAAGGAAAACATATTTTAGAAACCATCTTTTGGAGATGCAGTGAGTAATGTTAAATAATCTGCAAATATTCTATGGTCAAAATTGACTATTTTATTTTTGACAAACATTGATCGGTGATCTGCAAGAAAACTTCAAAATAACTGAAAGTACAAAACGGACTGGACATTATCTGATATCATCTGATATTAGTGAACAGAAAAGCCACGTAGTATGCATTTTATTATCTCAAATATTATTTTAATTCTGTATTATGATAATTATATGGTCCAACTAACACAAGCAAACTCGAAGAGCTCCATTTCAGGGCATTCATATTTGTAGATCAAGACAGAAATAGTACATATGAGGTGATGTTAACAAAATCAAACTCATGTACTCTGCGTGTTAACATGTTGATGCATATAGCTATTAAGATCTATAATAAAATGTCATTAGCTGTAATTGCTTGCATTAGCCTTAATACAAAGACTCTAAGTATTCTTCAGATACATAAAATACGGAAGAAATATCAAACTTAAAAACAGTCAGTTAGGGTAAAACAGTATTCTTATGAACTTTGCTAATAATTTTATGAAATTTGCAAAAAGTTGGAATGACATTAAATGTAATCTGTAGAGTGCAAATAGTATTTCCTTCAATCTAAATGTACGCATGGCAAAATGTCTAGGATGCTCTTTACATTGGCTGAAAAGTATTAGCTCAATTTGGTATATGATGTTTATTTGCTTCAGTTTTAATTGCCTTTAACTAGTTAGAGCTTTATTTTTCCATAGCTATGTGTGATGTTTAATACATAAAAATGGATGAAAAGATTTGGCTCCTCTTCGGAATGTCCCGTTTATTTGCTTCAAATTTAATTACCTTTTATTATTCTGAACTTTTATTCCTACAGTTACGTGTGATGTTTGATACATAAAATTGAATGTATATGTTTTGCAAATTCATGTTAAGGTCATGTGAAATTGTATATACATATATTTTTGTGGAGATATTGTACACTGTTATGAAATTAACTTATCTTTGACATGTAATTTCTGCAAACGTATCTAATAGGATGATGTTTTGAATCGGAGTAGAACACAGTACACACGCTAACTTGCTAATACGGAAATTGATACCTATAGCAACAACAACAACAACCAAATGAAACGTCCTGCACATACTCGCATTACTAGACACTATTTTGTAATTTTCTGAACCAGTGTATATTGCAAAATATTGTAACAAGCCAATCACTGGCGCAAATCCCGCTAGAAGTCATACGTTTCCCTTCGATTACAAAGATCTCAATTCCACGACAGTAGTAAACAGGAAATACAAATGCGTCCAAACTATAAATACTTTTATTCTAATTAACACATTACCACATATCTCACAACTTCCCAAATGCCAATCAACATCACAACTGCATGGTTTATCCTCATTGACTTTCCGTAACGTACCTCCAGTGTTGTACAACTTAAAACTATACAACTAAACCACCTAATACAGGAATAATTTTAAAACGTCACTTTAGGTCAATCAATTAGCAGCAGGGATGGTGAACCCTACAAAATTTTGCTCGAGTCATTAACGAAAAATAAAGGTTCCTACAGAGGCTGAAAGAAAGGTCAATAATGCTGAACCAAAGTCTCCAACTAATTATATTTCTATACGGTTAGGTTAGCTCATTTTTGTTATACTATTATTGAAGTTATTTTGTCCTGACTTTGTAAGGCGATTTTGTTTACCTGTAAAACGACTCAATTTTTGTCCTTCACCCTCCCTGCTGCTATTGATAGTCAAGGGGAGTTTAACCAAATATTTTATCTAGACCAATCTACAATCGTATGTATAAATTAATATATAGTTTCGTTTCTTAAGTCAATAATAGTTCCATCATGATTTGTAAGTTTGAAATTCATTCTCGACAATAATGGAATATGTACACTCAGGTATACTTGATTTATTGGCTCAGATACAATAAGCCACCCTGGGGGAGTTTGAACACGGGACGAGTATAGTATATATCTCTGCTGGGCCAGATTAGACTTAGAGAGGTTGACGTGGTAGCTGCTATCAATTATATCGCATACTAAATTCAGTGCGATGGTTGATGTATATTAAAAATATAGGCGAGATGTGACGACCTGTTCCATATGGGTCATTATTATATTTCAGAACAGCTTGGGGTGGAATTAATTTTTTTCCATGAGTTACATATTCTTTTAAAGTGTTCATCAATAAAATCACTAACTGATTTTTTAACTTTTCGGAATTGAATCTGGGAATTATAAATATTGGTAATTGTTCTTCTGTAATTCCATAATATTTCAGAAATACTGTCTTAAATAATAGCTTATTATTTACATGTTGAATTGGGTCATTTTCATTAACTATAAAATAACGAGAAATTTTATCTACTGGCACGTTTATTAATTCTTCTCTGTCAACAGCCTTGTTTACATATTCTAAGTCTGCTGCAACTTGATTTAGATGTTGTATTGTTTCATTATCTGATTTTTTTAAAATCGTCGTTATAAAAATTATTGATGCTGGAAAGTAAATTTTTAAGATCATTTAACACGCGTTCATGTTCAAATTTAATCGGTCTTGATAATGAGTCAATGTGCTCAACATCAATTGTTAATGTTTTTACTGAATCCTTCTTACCTTGAATGAAACCCATAAAATAATTATGACTCGTATAAGCTCTGGGTATCGTAGCGCTCTCCATAAATGGAATATTTTTCTATATTCTGGAAGTTGTGTAAATTTCTTAACATCTATGATGAAGTCAGATCGCTGCGGTTCTCTTGGATCCTGATAAACCGATGCAACTTCAGCCAATCTAATACTGATCTAATCGAACTTTGATAAATATCCACAGCATAGTCAGGAGAATGTATTTCAATCACCGACGACAATGTTGGTTCATAAACAGTAATTGCTATCTTGGATTCTTTTCAGGTTTTAGACTTAATTCTGCGCTGGAATTCCTCATTAATTTGCTCTATCTGATAACAACCAGTTGTAATACTAACTACTTGCCAATCGGGAGTTCTATCAGACTTATTTTCATTTTCGAATACTATTAAATTATTTGGTTGTTGTCCACCAAATGGTTTTGATCTAATATTAGGCCAGCTATAATAAACACGTAACTGAGCTAATGCTATCTCTTTTACTGGAATTGCAGTTGGAATGTTAACGCTAAATTCAGGATTGGTTGAACTTATCGATATAATGGTAGTTTTTGAAGGAGTTGTTTTAGTGACGATCTGCTGTAACAACTCTCTCGACTCAAGATCCATACG